TCGTATAATAGTACATCCCTAAATTTTTTCAGAATTTTTGACACATTAGATTCGGAGGAATTAAATCCTGAAAAATATCAAAAGTCAAAATGTATCCCTTGCAAACTTCATGAATTTTTTTTAACACAAATAATGAATGGAATAATTTAGAAAAATTCTCATATGTACTACTCGTATAGCAGTACATCTGTAAATTTTTTCAGAATTTTTGACACATCAAATTCGGAGGAATTAAATCCCAAAAAATATGGAGAATCGTAATTGAAGGTATACCCATTCAAACTGTGGTAATACCTGAAAATCTCGTTCTAAAACTTTTGGAATACCCCGTGTCTGATTTGCACGCATAGAAGTTCTCGCAGAAAGAATAATGAGAGCTCGTAAAGTAGTGGCTCGTTCGCGAGACCGTTAAAACATGGTCCCTACGAGGAAATCGAGGAGGAGCCCGGAGAACACACAGTGAAGTCGCATAAACTGAGGGAGTCAGCAGCAGCAGCAGCAAGCAGCAATGAAAAGAAAAGCCGGTTAATGGCGACGGGTACGAGAAGTGGCGAACGGCGGCATTATTAACGCCCGATAATGGCCACCGGTGCACTTAGCTAAACGTCGCCACTTGGTGGCCGGATTTTTCGATCGACACGGCTGCTACAACGCTGCCAATAACGAATACCCGGCAGCCATTCGCGGCCAGTGTAGTAAGTTTATTATGTACCGTAACGCCAAGTGCCCTCGAGAATTGGCAATCGGCGTGAAACGATCTTTGCTCGAGAACCGGGGCGAGGGAGACCTCGGAGCCGGCAACAAAGGCGAACGACTCTGTCCCGAGTTCGCGGCCCGGTGCTCCCGTTTCCCTGTGCACGCGCGTGCCTTTCTGCCTCCTCGAGAGACACTCGAAGAGTCGCCGGGGCGGAGGACGACGGGCCTTAAACCGCGCCGTTCCTCCCGTGTAATCGTTCCTTCCCCAGGTAGCTACTCGACCACCGATTCGAAACAATGCTACACTTTGACCGGACGCGTATATACGCGGGCAACAATAACCGAGCGGGCTTTCGAAAACGTTGGTACGTGGCTCACTCGTGGCCGGCGATTGTTGCCACTGGGGGAACGATCGTCGTCGTAGTTCGGTCTTGACAGTCAACGACCCGGGTCACATTGTCGACGAGGGTCTGATCGCTGGGTTTCCACTGCTGAACGCCTGAAGTTAAGCGATCGTCCAAGCGGCCAGTCGAAAGTGGCTCGGTTTGTTTCGTTGAAACGTTTTTAATTACGCTTCGGTTAGTCTTGTGTTGGTCCCACGTTTTGTTCGGGTAATACTGTTAATTGTTGCCCAGAAGCTGTCGCTGGTTCAAGGCAAATGGGGCTTTGCTAATTTTTTGGCGCGTGTCGGATTCATTCCTATTTCGAGTGCCGCTTTAAATGATTCCACGGTATTCGATGGTTCTGTATTCGAATTTCAAAGAATAATTAATGGGAGGGTAGCGACAATTATATTTCTATTATTTATCGATATGCTTTTGGAATTCTATGGTCGCACTCAGGACTTTCCAAAGCTAGGCCGATACGATCGGTACTTTTTTCACTGACCCGACGTACCTCCGTGTCCCTTCTTTTTCAAGGGTCGTCGACGGATCCCTACGTCGATTTTCTTATATAAATATCCGCGTGCGTGCAGGATCTCTCGTACGTGTGTGTACAGAGCGGAACACGATGAGTATATAGGGATTGGAGGGTGGAGGGTGGGTCGGAGCCGGTATAGGCAGGCGTTGCTGGGTGAACCTTATCGTCGGTTTCTAGGTGAGCGCGTCGAGGCGTCACTGGGTTTTGGCTCGACGACGAGAACTGGCTGCCGCGGCCGGGGAGACGGGTCGGCGCGGGGAGGGTCGGAAGAAGCTGGTGGAATGGTCGGGTAGGAAAGAGCCAAAGGGGGACGCCGCACGATAAGACGTCGAGCGTCCCGACGCCTAGCTCTCCCTGGCCACGATACGCCTCTGTCATCCGAGCAAAGTGCCACCCTTCTGCTACTCTTACTCTCCTTCCGTTCCTCCGACCCCTTTTTCTTCTCGTTCCGCTACTGCTGCTACCTTTCTTTTTCCCACCCCTGTCGCTCTCACCCTTCGCCTAACGTCCTTATCTCCCGCTTTAATTTTCTCGTTTTTCAAAGAGAAAGAGAGAGAGAGAGAGAGAGAGAGAGAGAGGGATTTAGCTGCCGGTTCCATCGACGATACAGAATATCTAAGACATCTGTAAACCGTCGGAATTGAAAAAATAGAAATAACGAGACACGATGGCGGTGCACAATGAAGGGGGGGTGGGGGAAAACGCAGAAAAATTTGGAAAAAGGAACGATGGTCTATGGTCGAAAAACTAGGACAAGCGAAGTGTAAACTGTGAGAAAGATTTAAAAAAAAAATAGAGAGAGAGAGAGAATGGGAGGAGAGTTAACCGGAGGCGGAAGCTACGGACAAAACGAAGGAGGGAAGATGGGAAAGAACAGAGACGAGGAGCAAAGCTTCACATTGTTCCGGATTCTACATCCTGTAGTGGAAACTTGGTGTAACAGCCCTCCCGATCCGACGTGAAGTTTAGTGCTGCCGGCCTGGGCTCCCTGCCAGTTTCCACGATGAACCTTAACCGCATCCATGAAAGGGAGTTACAGATTATCTCTCGAGTTCCTCTCGCTTCCTCGACGGTATCATTATGAAAACCATCGCCGCCACCCCTCGGCGCCCCGCGCCGCCGACGGTAATACATCACTAACGGCGGTACCTTCGGTTCTCTTTTAACGGGAGATAACGTATTTGCGTTATTTACTGCGCCTATCCTACCGAGTATACACGGCGTGTCAATAAAAAGTATCAGTCACAATTATCCACTAGTCATTAATTTAAGGGGCCACTGTGAAACTTTAATAAAAATGACCTAAATTTTAGGTCACATTAGTAAGGACCCTTAAGGCGAGTATACAAGATGACGTACTTGTTAGGTATTTGTTGTACGATAATTTTGTTGGAATGTATTAAAATACTTCATACTTAAAATACTTTAGACACCGCGCGTCTATCAGCAGCGCTACCTATACTTTTATGTAAAGTTCCGGTTTTATATCTTTAACGTTTTTGTTCACTTTCTTCTTGTTCTATATTGCGTATGTATCAAGTAGTAATAAAGTTGTGTGGTTCAAAGTAAATCTCCAACTGAAGTTAATAAAAAACCTAAGAAATACACCACAAGTAAAATAAGTATTCTAACAGAAAGCCTTCGTTTACGGGAAGGAAGCAATGATAACTAAGATGTGAATTTTTATTTGCTCTGATCCCACAATCTTCCACTGCACAATAATCCCAGTTGGTACATTTTTTATGTGATGTAAACTCCATCGCACTTATTTCATTGATAAAAAATACAAAGTTAACGAAGTGCCAAACAATGCTTTCGCTTGGTTTCGTCTAATTCTATTGCCCGCCATGAGAGCTCACGGTAAATGTTTCAATTCCCAATACGTAACAAACTTACCATTACGAGCACCTGTTGGCAGGGCCGGGATAATTTTTCCCTCGGCCGGAAAGTGGGGACGACGCGACCATGATGGGGACTGGTATTTGACAGGGGTATACTAGGCATGATCAGTGAAGGCGCATGAGGAGAATAGTAGTGGGGATCGAAATACGGGCGAAAAACAGGGGAAGCGAGCCATGCGGGAAAAATTATCCCAGCCCTGCCTGTTGGGTCTACATAATGCTCGACAGCTATACAGGGTGTTCCCTAACGGGTTTATGAGCCGAAAATGGCAGATAGGGAGGGTCTTCCTGAACAACAATTTCCTTTGGCAAAATACGAAATGGGGCTTGGTTACCAAAAAACAAGGACCAATCAGAGTTGACGTTGACCAAACCTCGGTTGACGCGGGCTCCGACTCGGGAGTGTTGGCTCGGATCCGGCCTTTCACGCGTTTGAACAAGCGCTCCGCTCAGTACGAAGCGTTTTACAAACTACATGAATAACAATGCAAGGAAATTGTTGTTCGTGCGTTATTATGAATAACAATTAGTACACTTAATCGTTA